TTTAGTATTAATCTTCTGGATTTCTATCTGTCAATTTAGAATCATTTCTAATTTTTCATTTATGTTGTCATTTTGTTCTTGTATTTTCTTCCAAAATTCTTCTAGGGTTTTGTCTGTGTTTTCCTTGGTCTGTCTCTCAATTCTTTGATGATACCTAAATATGATTCTTTTGAATTCCTTATCAGTGAGTTCCAATGCTGCATCTTCCTCAGGGATGTGTTTTGGGTAGATATCCTGGTCCCTTGTTTCTCCTGCTTTATCTTGCTTCTTTGTGAGGACTGTGATGCTCTGTTGTCTCTGAGGCATTGTGACATTTTTGTTTATATTTAATTGGTGATTATATGTTGGAGTGACTTGCCCACAATTTTTATTTTCTTTATTTTGTTTGTATGTTATCTATACAGGAGGGTACTGTGCTGTGCTCCTCTATTCACTAGTTGACAGCACTTATACACTCAACACCTGTCTCCTTTCCTTTGTCAGCCTTTTGTATGTCCTTGGTTACCCTTGCAAACAGAGCCTGTTCTTAGGTCCGTGGAATCCGAATGAGAATACTATCACTTTAAAATCCAAAATGGTTGCCACTTGTAAACATTCAAAATGGCTGTGCCCTCGGTCACTTTAAATATCCAAAATGGCTGCCATGTGTAAACAATCAAAATGGCTGTGCCCTCTGGACAGCAGAAAGTCCACAGCTCAGGTTGTCTCCCTCCTTGCTGTTTCCCTTCCTAGTCATAGGCCACCTAAGCAGTTGTGTCTGCAGCCCTTGGTGACTGTGACTGATCTTTAGGTCAATTCTCAGGTCCCAACATCACTTGGAAATACTCAGGTTGTTGGTATCATCAGAGAATCTGACAGTCTACAGCTCCTACCATCTCTGTACTCATTGTTTTTGTTCAGGTTTTTCCACTAATTGGTGCCTAATCCACTTCTGTATAGTTCTTTTCAAAGTTCAGGGTTCCAGGATTATCTTCTGTATCTCTGTCAATTGGTTTTTCTTTTCTTTGTTGAAGACGGTCTTTGTCGTTTGTCTGCCTATTCCTCCATCTTACCGGAAGTCACCTTGGTGGTTGTTCTTGACCATCTTTTCTTCCACTTGAATTGTGGAATCAGCTTGTCAAAGTCCAAAAATATATTGGGATTTATTTTTTTTTGTGTGTGTGTTAGGATTTTAATTGGGGCTGATTTATAGATTTATTCTGCGAGAAATGACATCTGTCTTTGTACATACCAAAATCAAGGATGACTAATTCTCTACACTAGCCCTAACTTGTCTTTTAATTACACTGGGATGTAAGTTTTAGGACAGCAAGAGAGTCCCTTCCCATGGCAGGCCAAGTGATGCTCACATGACTCAAACCCTATCCACAGTGCACAGTCCTTCACTGGGCAGTCCTAGGCTTCTGTGCTGGTGTGGTTCACTTGGTCAAGGGTGGAGGTATGGAAATTTGACCAATTCATATTCCAGGGTACAAATGGGAGACAGCTTCTCTGACTCCATTTAACGCCACCCTTGGGATGGAAACATTGGATTCTCAGTGACCCCTAGGTATCGGTCTTTCGCCTTATCTGTCAGGGCATTTCAATGGAGAAGGAGACCAACAAGAGTTTCACTCCATTCAGGACACTGAGGGCAAGGACAATCCATCACAGACTTTAATTAATCAATGATCTAGGAAACTTTCATTTTGTAAGATATAATCATGCATCTTGCCTCATTAAAAATAATAATAAATAAATAATAAATCCTAACAGTTTCCTGAAAGAAGGAAAGAGTATGGTATGACAATATAAAAGGGTTTCAAGGGACTCCTATTTCAAAATCTTTGTAATATCAAGTCTTCCCAATTGTTGTCATTAGGTGCTGAGTCATGTTCAACTCACAGAGACCCTATGCACAGCAGAACGAAACACCACCTGGTCCTGCACCAGCTCCATGATCCTTATTATACTTGAGCCCAAGTATAACATCGTTGCAGCCAGTGTGTTAATCCATCTTGTTGAGGGCCTTCCCCTCTTTCATTGACCCTCCACCATACCAAGCATGACATCCTTCTCCAGGTTATATCTATTCATTTAATTCCTCTTATATATAGTTTGGGAGCTCTGATGGTTTTAGAGTTTTCTTCAAACAGGTCTTGAACATTTTTGATAGATTTATTCCAGGAGTCCCTGTGTGGTGCAAATGGTTAAGCTTTGGACTACTAACCAAAAAGTTGACAGTTTGAATTCACCTAGAGGCACCTGTGAAAAAAGGCCTGGCAATCTATTGAAAAATCAACCATTGAAAACACTATGGACTCGCAGCTCTACTCTGCAACAAAGTTACCATGAGTTGGAATTGGTCTGTTTTTTTTTGTTATTCCCAGATATTTTATAGATTTTTCTGCTGTTGCGAATGACATCTTTCTCCCTTACTTTTAAAAATGGTTATTTAGGGAATCAGGAAGCCTCAATATACTATATCTGGCCACTCTACTGAATTCTCTTGTGAGTTCTAGAAGTCTTTCTATTGGTTCTCCTGGTTTGTCTAGTTAGATCATCATACTGTGTGTAATTACACTTGTCTCTTTGCTTTCTGAAACTTTCCAAGTACAAACATCTTTCCTTCCCCTGTTTTTCTTTCACTAGCAGGAAGTTCAGTAAATAATGCAAAGTAGCAATAATATTAGCCACCTTTGTCTTCTTCATGACCTTACTGAGAAGACTGGCAATGCCTTGCTGTTAAGCATAATGTGTGTTGGACGTTTTGGGGAGACTTCTATTATTTATATAGTATAAAACAAGTTGTTCTAGTTCATCTTATTAGCTAGTATGTTTTATTTGTTTATATAC